GGCCTACCCAGCGCGTCGCAGGAGCTATCAACGTCACGACCTCATTTGAGGTGTACTCAAACTTTTCTGATCTCTTCTTCGTCAACACACACTAAATAACGCGACGTGATCAGTGGGGTGACCACAATGTCGCCACAATTGGCTTGTTTTCCACTGAACGTGTTAAAAACTTCCCTCCTTTCCTTGTTCTGTCCGAGTGTTTCAACTTGTATGAAAAATTGTCATGCGCAAGCGCAATCAGTTGGCCCTCCGAATCTACATATGAATCGTGTTTGTTCGAAGTACGGCCAAGCAGACGACAAAGCAGCGCGACGTGAAAAAAGCTAAATCTTTCTGCTGTTGTTATATTCTTTAATGTTTATTTGGTCTGCACCGCTTTAATTATGTCTCTGTTTGTTCGTCGTAAAGTGTTCTTCAATAACAAAAGTTTTCTGGAGTTTGTGGTAACGATAGTCCCAATCATATTTTTGTCTAGCAATATTAACCCTCGAAAGGGTGAACTAATGTCATGAATTTCTCTTTTTTATCAACAGCCCTTGTCCACATTTCCTAACACTACATGTGTCAAATCGTCAAATGAACCTCCACCAAATCCAGCTGATGTGAAACATGATGTTATAGGGCCTCCAAATAAAACGTCCAATTTGCGTCCAGTCCTATTCTATATTCCACCTAATGAAACTCAACTTGAGCAAGATTTCAGAATTGAACGCGAGAAAGTACAGAAATGGAACGAAGATTTCTGGATTAAGCATAATTCTGCATTTTTAAAGGTGAAGATCATTTTACCCAAGGATGACATGGAGGGTCGATAAGAATTCTGTTGTTGCTTCCTGCGTTTTTTTCCCTCTTTGACGTGTAAATATGTATGCCATGAAAAGCCAATCATGATTGCTTTCCTCAGTACTCTTCTAATTTAGTCGAATTTTATTCTGGATTGAAGTTGAATCTATCTACCTTTAAAAACGCAATATTCAACAACTGCAGAAAAATTGTCTAATTCTTTTGTTATTAAACTAAAATACCTCCAGGCCAGGACAGAATTGAATGCTACTTATGACAGTATAGAAATTTGTGTGATGTGTTCCAAAGAAAACATGCTTGCTAACGAATAAATCATTTTATTCTTTCAGGAAAGTAACGATTTTCGTCAAAAGAAATTGGAGACACTTCCGCGTGATGAAAAGACTGGCTTGAGTGCTGAAGAAATGTCAGAGTTTTACAAAGCATTCTTAGACAAGAATTGGAAAACTCATTTTTCATATAACTTTCAGTGGTATGGAAAGAACTTTAACCTTCTATATTTAGCTTTGAAAGTACAAATTTCAAAATTAAGAGGTAGCTCATGAGGAGACTACTAACATAGTTAAATATGATTCCAAGTACCTGGCACATTCACTCATTTTAAAACACTATGTATTGGGTGTATTGTAAAATAATTGTTAAAATAAAAGTAATGAAAATATCTGCAAATTAATCCTTTTGAGCTCTCTAAGTCGATGTGAGTACTACAAGAACCTACCGTACTTTCTAATCACAGCCCATAGAAAATGGGAAATATCCAGAGGTTCCCTCTCCAGAAGTCCCTTGAGCCTGACAAAAATGAAAACCAAACGAATTGCTGGAAATGTTTTGGATTGGCCAGGCAGCATCTTCTCTTCTAATTTTTGTGCTGCTGGGCGAATACAGGATAATTCTGGAGCTCAATAATGAACTCCTTTCTCTGCATCTTCACCCAAAATGTGCAATCCCCTGCAGGTGTATATTATTTTTTAACAACAAAAAATACTTTCACTAAAACACGTTAATAAAAAAGGCAAAACTCAAGGGACAACTTCAAGATGCGGCCACCTCTTCCACTGAATGCTGTTAGGGACAATATTTTAAATTTTGAGCTTTGCGAGACTGCGTTGACAAATCAATTGAGATATACAGTATATTCATACTCACAAGAAGAAATAGAAGAAAGTTGATAATGCATCAGTCATAATGAAAGTAATTTGAGGGAAGCCTCCACCATGAATAAGTTGCAGAAAAATTCAGTTTGAGCCATATGTGTACTGCTGGAAATAAAAATGAACTTCTAACCAATACATTACATACAAAACATTGTATTCTGCATAGACTACACTGGAAAATGAGCATACATCCTGGTTAGAATGAAGATTATTACCAATGAGACATATGATGCAGAAAGTTTAAACTGTGTCAATACCGTTGTACAACAAATCATGTTCCTGTTATCTATTCATGCTTGTGAATTATAGTAGAGAATATACGTTCACTCTTAATATAAAAACATCACAGATTCAACCCAAAGAGAATGTACATTTATGGCACTGTTACAGTCAAGCCAGAATAACACTATATACAGATAAACATAGAAAAGTTAGCTTGTTCACAAAATTTAAGGCAAACATTTTACTTATTTACATGGTGCTATGTATCAGTTTCATTCAGTTACTACTTTCAGTTTTCAGGGCATTAGAACAGAAATATACACTTATGCGTATGTATTTATGGGAACATTATTCGATTTAATTTGTACCCCTGTGAATGGAGCAAAGGTTGACAGAATGAATAAACTTAAATGTCCAATAAGGGTGGATGCTACATAGACAGGAAAGAGCAGGATTTGAGTTATAGACCTCTAAAAGTGTGCATAGATAAGCAATTGAAAGGGAGTTCTGGGTACAGCAATTAATTCTTCTTGTAAACAAAACTAAGAATGCTACTTTGCCATGACTCATGCTTTAAATTGTGTTGGTCTGAAATAGGCAAGCCTAATGCAGTAACAGTTGCTTACATCCTAGACAATAGCAAAATTGCAAGAAAGAAAAATACCTTGGCCAGATCAGATAATGACAAAAATCTGAGTAATGCATCAGTACAAAAACTTATTGTAAAAGCACCATTTACCAGTTAAAAATATAAGAATTTGATTTTGACAAAACTGTGACAAGAAAGTGCTATTTACAAACCATTACACAACTTAGTACCTATACTCTATCTACACAATCAGTTCAGGAAGAGATATTGAAGATACATAAAGAAACAAAACAGCTCAAGCATTGTTTTCTCTTGGTAATTTTACTACTAAATCATGCAAGAATAATAAATATTGACCAAATTTGGTTTCATACTTCATGTAAAATGTCATCAAGAGAAGAACAAAAATTACATCACTTAGCAGAACGTTATGTATAAGTCATAGTGATATGCTAAACCAGTGGTTTGAAAAGTCTTTTCTATACGAATCAGTAGAAGATTTAACACAATGAGGATTAAAACTTTTAAAGAACTTCACGAACAACAGTAAAATTTGCAAAATATAACACATTGTCATTCATTAAAAATACATTTACATCCCACACTAAATTTCTACCTTATCAAACAATGGAATACAGGAAAAGACAGTTAACACAAAAAACAGTTAATATGAGCAAAACACTTCAATTGAAAATAATACCCGGAAACTCCCAGAAAACGTTGTGAAGAAATACACTTGAAATGAGCCACTGAATGTGCACCTGATAGGATTGCTTGAAAGGCTACAAAACACCTTAACAAACACTGATGAATTAATAAGCAGCAATGACAGGTTAAAGTTGGAAGTCAAAAATATAATGCACCCAATCCTATTGAATCATATTTGTTGCAGGCACCGCCATGGCAAGAATGACTGGCATACAAGAGAGCAAGACTTTAGTATGAGAAAAATAATTTTAAATGCTTTGATTTTTACCATAAATATATCCTTAATAATTTGAACATTTGAACTTAGAACAACAAATCTTATAACCACATTTATACAGAAAATATTGAATTCAATGATGATGATAATAGTACTAATAATTATTATAATAAAAAGTCACTTGTTCTTTTCTTGTGGCTTCAGCTTTCGAACAGTGAGTGGAAGCTGATGAAACAACAATCACTACCGACGGATATGAAAACCACGAGTCCCGTCTGGACCTTTGGGGAGTCTTATAATACAATCCATTTCAGGAGGTCGAAGTACTTCCACTTTCGCTTGAATTTTGTTGATCCTGTAGGGAGATTGAAAGAGACAGTAGTTAGAAGTAAACCCAAAGGAAAAGAAGCCAAAGGAATCTGTTTCAACTAACAATAGAATATAAAGCACTTAAACATACTTATCCTCCACTATCTCTTCAGGACTTCTTGCCTCTCCCAGTATTCGTAACCTGGCTTGAGCATACTCTTGTTCTCGCTATAATTAAAGGTAATGGAAGGAATTAGAATTAATTCAACAGTGCTTACGGATGGCATGAGAAATACATTTTTCTGTTACCTGTTGTAATGTTTTAATTGGTTGTTTACTTGGTTTATTTTCACCATTCATGGAGGGACCATCACCTCCACCATTAGAATTTTGAGTAGGCCTCTTGAGAATTTTAACAGTTGGTTCAGGTGGAGCATACTGAGTTCGAAAGGCATCATCACCTGTTAAAATCACCCCTCTTGATGCAGGCTGATCGCTATTACCTCTGACAGATGACAGATATAGAAGATATGATTAACTATCATATTGATTTTTAGTAGGAAGGAATTGTAATTGATAGACTACCTTTTGATGCTGCTATCCTCCATAGTTGGGACGTTTAGGAGTTTTAATTTTCTTTCCAAAACCTGAAGGACAGAAATTGAGTATGTTAGCTATGTTAAGCTATGTTTGAGTGACAAATCACAAAGTATTCGTTTTGGTAGTGTCACTACCACTGAAGCTCGTCTTGTGAAAGTATTATTTAATCCGGACAAAGTAGGTCAATTACAAAATGTGGATGTAAACACTTCAGCATTGGATATTAGAGCAAAAATTCGAGGTTATGATACCAGACAATCGCAAAATTCTGACTACAATTGATAAGCTATTGTACAATTAGAAACACAGATCAGAGGGGAAATATGAAGCAGTACAAACCTCTGAGTCATCCATTTCTTCCCAACTGTCAAATATTTCTAACTCTTCACTCGCCATGTCCCTTCCGTCGTCTGTCGAGCAGCCTGTTGTTAACGAGAAGTACTCCGGCATGCACATCAAACATTTATGAGAAATTACGCGCACACATGTAAAATAGGATTCTTCTGAAAGCTGCGATACTGATACAAAATTTGTATGTTTTTGGAGGCAAAGAGGTGAAAAACCTACCTCAGCGTTATAAGGCACATCATATATTTTTCCTGGACAGATAACAACAGCAAAGGGGGAATAAAACTTCCATGTTAGGGTGGCAAAAGCGTTCACAGACTTTGCCCGGGAGAATTCAAAAGATGGAAAATCTGGCAGGGAATTACCTCCCTTTCCCAAGATCACCACGATTGTTTTTCACTTTCTCATGATATTCTAATTACTGGAATGGGCGAGTACACAGAGTGCTCTGTTCGCGCCGTTCTTTCTTCCAGTTGTACGACCGGATGCAGACGTGCCGGCGGGCTTGCCTATCGTCGCTCAACGAGGAGCCTAACGGCGCCGTGCGAGTATGCAACCCATCCGCTTGGCTGCATCCCGTACAGTATAACAAGATTTAAAAAAAAACAAAAAACAAAAACGGCGCTGACGGACCACCCTTTATGTGTAGGTGATTGGCAAAGGAACTCTGATTGAATGTATGTACCTGTTGTACCTGTTGTACTATTATTTTGTTCAAACGATTAAGAGCAATTGGATGAATAAGGCAATTTTTATTCTAGAGGCGCATATGTTTATTTATTTAAGAAGTACAATTACTCCAGGTTGAGGAAATGAATACGAGTAATCCTATCAACATCACTGTGGCTGAGGGAATCATGGATGCAGAATTGCTCGGCTGATCTGCAAATACATATAAACATTACGTTAATTTAGCAGTTATGTTATGTGCCCAAAGTATTTGGAAAACTGCATACACCATAAATTTTAAAGTTAAGGAAATTTCATTATTTTTTTTATTTGTTGTTATTTTAGGTACGGTAAAAAAAACCTGTTGAGATCTCACGGCTGATGCAATTATCTGTTTCTGGTGAAAATAGGTAGGCAACAAAGCAAAAACAAAGCTTTTCTCATGATCACAAACACAGGCTTTATTCACACATACAACTATTGTTACTCCTAATTAACACAAGTTTTAAAACATTGACTTAGGGACCAACATCAAACACATTTACTCGTAGTCACACATATAAACAAACAATACATACAAATATATTCCCAGATATTTTCAAATAACTAAAATTGATGGAAAATGAGGGAAAAACACACAAACACAGCTCGATAAATAAAGGCCTACGACTACAACCAAATGTCCTCCATCATAGAACCTTGGTCGCAGTCAAATTATCACTATACTGTCTTAAGATTTCCGTTTAGTACATAATCCTAAAATCTTACATTGGCAGCAAACACCTTGTGCCTTGTGCAAACCAAAACACACACACACTTATATGTCAACGGCATACATCTGGGTATGGTCAAATACGTACAATTCTTTCCCAAAATCAGAATTCGCAGGACAAAATACAAAGAAAAAACTCTTTTTCTCCTTAGCTTTAGCAAAAATGATCCCAGAGTGACAAAAACGAAATATGATCTGCTTCAATTTATTTTAAAGCATTTTTTTTTACTGCATTTAAATTGTTCAAGTATATCACAATATAATCAGCAAAAATTACTTTGTACAATCATCACAAATGGAATGTCCACAGAAATCAGTGAATTTGTCCTATCAATTATTTTTTTACGGATATTACAGAAAGCAATACAAACTAAAAAACAGTGGTCTTCTTTACAAAAGATGTGAAATATCACATCAGGTCAGCAATACAGAACCAGTTAAATTCTTCAGAAGAGTAGGGCCATATTATTTACAGCAATAAGTACGAAAGAATCGGCGGGTCTTTATTATCACAGCCGTCTCATGGAAATCTTCAACCCTTCTATATAATCATTTATAAAAATAATTCTACCTTGGAAAAAGATGAAAGGAACAATCTTAATGGAATAATATGTAGACGTCAAAAAGGAAAAGCTTGGAGATATCATCACTTGTTAAAACTGTCCGACTGGCATTATTACAATTTATGTACCAAGGTCTCCTGGTACCACCTCAATCTCACACATAAGCGTTGGTCTGATACCAGGTAACATTTTGCCTCGCGGGCCACAGGCTCCATTGAAGCATACGAGGACCAGCCTCAAGTGCCTCAACAATCCGTTTCCCTATCATGTTTAAAATCTAAATTTAATTACTATCACACAAAGTACCAGTAAATTTGTGCAATTATAAGTTGGCAAGAGATGCATTGTAAAAGTGAGAAAACGTCACCCTCGAAAAAGACCCCCTAACATACGCACACATACACAAAAACGACAAACGTGTGTGGCATTCCCCGAGTTTTGCAGGCTCCAGGATCCGTCCATGTCCACTGTCGAAAAGCAGGGCCGCTGAACACCCGACAACAGCAAGCGACACACCTATGGACACAGCACACGACCAGCCAGCGACCAGCCTGCTATGCCAGCTCTGCACATGGACGGCACACGAAAGAAGCTAGACCAGCTCGCTTCCTCTGAGCAAGACGCATACCAGTGAGAAATGTCTGTTGCAAATCGACATCAAAACGTCATCGAAACGATGTCGAAATAGTGGAATCGACGTCGCAACGATATCGTTTCGATATTAATTTCTCACTGGGACACCCTTGCGCCCTTCAGCCCGAGCGGTTGTGGTCGCCCTGTGTGTGGTGGGGGTGGGCCTCGTGGTTGTGCTTGTCGGCCTGAGCGTCGTCGCCCAGGACGAGGCTGCTGGCGCCGTGCACAGCGCCGCGCACCACCTCGCGCACCACTTGTGAGAGCGAGTTGGACACGTCCTGGCCACCAACGCCCTGGCCGCCAACGCCCCCAACGTCCCCGGTTGGTCCACCTTTGCTGTTGTATTTGGCGAGGAGCTCAAACACTAGGCCGTTGGTCCAGCCGAAACCCTCCTGGACGGCGTACTCGCCGCCACCACCGAAACGCCCGATGTTGACCGCGTCGTACTGGAAGCAGAGGGAAGTCCGTCAGCGACTATGTTACGGTTGGGCAGCGGTCGGGCGCACTTGCACCTGAAGTGCCTTACCTTCTCAAACATCATGGTGTTCTGCTCGTATCCCAAGTAGTTGGCGTGCAGCCACCGCCTGGCCAGCTCGTCGGCCAGGTTCATCGCGTCCTCCTGCCCTGTCCGATCGAGGCCCTGGATGACGAGGGCCTGAATCGGCGCCCAGCAGTTGGGGAAGTCCCACTGCTCGCCCGTGTTGGCGAGGGAGGAGGGGGTGCCGCCGCGGTACGACAAGAGGCCGGTTTTCTCGATGTACTTGACGGCCTGCAAGACAAAAATCGTCGTGTTCGAGGAGAAGCTCTTTCCTCGCAGTACCAGACACGAAACGGCGCGCCTGCTCGTCCTTACCTTCTCCGCGATATGAGCGACCTTGTCCCCGTCGTAGCAGTTCGTCCAGAGCGGTGCCAGGTTGGAGCCGTAGAAGTACTCGCGCTGCTTCTTGTTGAGCGCGTCGTAGTCGTACCAGATGCCGTCCTCTTCGTTCCACAGGACGGCCTGCACCGCCGCGCGCAACTCGTTCGCGATGCGGCCGTAGCCCGTGGCCTTGTTGCGCTGGTTCAGCTTGGTCATGAAGAACTGCAGACTGGAGGCCGCGCCGTACAGGAAGGCGTTGAGGTCCACGGGCACAATCGAGGTGGTCTTGATGTCCTTGAGCTCGCCTGCGCGATGGAATCGGCGTAAGTAAAAGGTTTGATCGCAGCTCTGTGTCTATATAGATCCAGCCGGCGCCCAGTGTACTCACCCTTGTTGGTGCCGTCCCTGTCAATGAACCACCTGCTGGAGAAGTCCCAGCCCGTCGCCGCGCCCGACTTGAGCTCCCAGTACATGCGCTCGCGGTCCTCCGTCGAGTTGGCCAGGTGCTCGGTCGTCTCGAAGTCCTCCCTGCGACAGGAACATGAGTTAGAGTTGGTCGTGCCAGGCTGGGTGGGGGGGCAGGCGGAGTTGCTGGAAGTTGTCGACTCACCGGTATGACTCTGGGCGCGGGCCGTTGGAGAGGAAGAAGTACCTCGCGAGGTTGTATTTTTGGCCATCTTTCTCGACCTATAGTGGACAGTAAAAATATTTCTTTTAGGTACAGCTTCTCGACGGTTAACAATAACAAACCCCTGGACGGACCGGCTCGCTTACCTCAATCATGGAGTTGTTCATCCAGAAGTTGAACTCCTTCTCGAGGGTTTCCATGTTGTCCTCGATGAACTTGATGTCGTTGGTCTTGTCGTAGTAGGCGCGCGCCATGGCGATGAGCAGGGGCGGCTGGGAGCGCTCCTCGTAGTACACGCGGCTGCCGTTGGGCACGAAGCCGAGGACCTTGACGAGGTGCATGAGGTTCTCGATGACGCCCTTGGCCGTCTCGTGCATGTCGCAGAAGAGCAGGCCCTGCAGGATCCAGTACGAGTCCCAGTAGTAGAGCTCCTTGAAGCGGCCGCCGGGGATGACGAAGCCGTGCGGCACGTAGATGAGGGAGTAGTGGCTGGGGTTGTCGCGCACGTCCGTCTTCATCTTGCGCGCGAGCATGCGCCACAGCTTGTTGAGGCTGTGCGCCCACTCGCGGTACTTCCGGTTCTCGATGCGCTCGAGCAGCGCCGGTTGTTCGGTCCAATCTGAAGGGATCCACTCTTCGAGCTCGTCGCCGTCCTGTAAGCACAAGAAGAAACGTCAGCCTCGTCTCCGGTTTCAAAGTTCTCCAGTAGTGCGCGGTAGAGACGATACTTGCCTCGAAGGTCTGGTTGACGAAGTTTTGGACTTGCTCGAACGAGGGGTTGCTGCCCGTCTCCTGCATCAGCTTCTCGAACTGCTTGAGCGCGACCTCGGGCGACTCGCGCACCTTCTTGTCCACGAAAGTCTTGGAGTCCGGGTAGATCCTGGCCATCTGCACCACATGGAGGAGCTCTCCCTTGCAGTAGATGTCACTGCAAAATAAAATTAAAAATATTTGGTCAACGACGCGTTCTGCAAAGGGTGGGTGTTCGAACCCCGACAGCCCTTTACCCCCCCCCCCTCTTTTCCCCGTCCTGTTTCAGCAACGTGGTCAGCAGCCGCCGCCATGCAACGGGGCGAAGGTGAACGACCCCAGCTCCGAGCGGCGTCAGGGCGGGCGTGTGAGGAAAGCGAGAGTGGGCGAAGGGAAGGGGAGCAAGCCGCACGGCGAGGTGGTGCTCTCTTTTGTTCCTGGTCCAAGGGCTGGCATCGTCCTCCCCCTCCCCTCCACGCTGGCCGAGAGGCGGCCCGCCGGAGCCTGCGCGCCGGACTTTGCCCTGCAAGTGGCCGAGGCCGAGGACATCCCGGGTCCGCGTCCGCGTCAGTCTCCCGCCCGCTCACGTGGTGCTCGGCTGCTCGACATGGCTCCCCAGCTGCCCCAGCAGGGCGGGCCGCCGCCGCCCCCGCAGCACGGCAGCAGAGGCCGCCCCGCCCGCACGCACCCCGAGGAGGCCAAGACTCAGCTGGCCGCGCGCCGACCCAGGGCCGGCGAGACCCTCGCCGAGCTCGCCCAGGACCTGCTCCGGCTCACGAAGATGGCGTACCCGCGGATGGACAGCGCGTCGCAGGTGAGTGGCGGCCGACCACAGCAGGGCCTCGGCCAAAGCCCCGCCTCTCCCCGCGGCAGCCCTTACCGGAGTTCATTTTTCCAGGACGAGCTGGCGCGCGACCGGCTGCTCGTCGAGGTAGAGGACCCCGTCGCGAGGAAGCGCGCGCGGCTGGCGCAGCCCCCGAGCCTGGCCACGGCGCTGCGCGAGCTCACGGGGCACGACCCCGCCAACGCCACCACGCCCTCGGACACCACCATCACCACCACGACGTCGCCGCCAGGCGATGGGCGCTGCGGCTGCGGCGGGGAGGACGACGCGCACGGCCTCGCCGTCGCCGTCAAGGAGAACACGGAGGCCGTGCGCCAGCTCGTGGAGAAGATGGCCAAGAGGGAGGAGCAGGAGGAGAAAGGTTGGGGTCTGGGCTGGGGCTGGCGCCTGTTCTGGTGAATCACGGCTACTTAAATGTAAGGACTCTCTTGAGCCGTGACAGGCAACATGCTCCAATAATTGTCACGACCTGGTCACAACAATGTAAGCAGTAGGACTTTGGCGGCTGATAGTGGCGCAGCGCCACGCCGGCCGCGTGCACAGCGAGTGAGAGGCGCTCCGGTAAATATAGCGGCCGAAAGGAGTGTATACGTGTTATTGCACCGGCGGCTATCACGGGCGAAGAGTTTGCCGGTGAGTTTACTCGACTCTGCTGCTATCTAAAGCGCAGCAGCGGTGCTGCCGGGAGAGCGAGCCGCCCACGCGGCCCCCGAGTGGAGCGGTGCGCGCGGGGCGCGGGCGGACGGCCCGATCAGCGGATCGGATCGTGACGGGCTCAAGCGGACGGCGTGACAACAGCCCGTGCTACTACTAGAGCGGTGTATTTAGCGAGAGTGTGTTGCTCACCGTGATTCGTATTGCAGTAAATGTATAGAGCGGAGTGGAAGAACCCAATAAACTAGTTCTGATGCGTTATAAACCTTTTGTTGATGTTTTCACATTTTCTCACAGTTTTCATTCCAATACATACACATTTGGGGGGCTACTTAAAAACAAAATCTGCGCGTCACAGTGATTCGTACGTAGGCTACCCCCGCGCGCCCCGGTTTCCGCCGACTCATTGATCAAGGTCAGGATCAATCACCTGTCGCGCCCGGGAGGAAGGCGCGGCGCGGCACGCCCGCGGCACGCGAGCCGTAAGCAAACTACGAGCAACATGGAAACTTCGCGCCAGCAGCTTCAGCAGTGCCCGGGTATCTTCCAACATGGCTACACAATGATTGATCCGCACCATCGACAATCGACAGGGAATGACGACCTTTCGCAGACAGAGCGGAAAAATGGGGAGGACTTGGTGAGGGTACCGGAGGAGTGGGCTGGGCAACTTACTCGGCTGGGTCGAGGAAAGAAGTTGGATATTTGGGGAGAGGGGGGAGGGGGGCTAAGACCCCGGCAGTAGCTTAACAGCCCGATCGACCAGCACAGCGACGGCGAGGAAGGGGTCACGCCCAGTCGAGGCGTCAATGGCACACATTAAGTCATGAAGTAGTGACCGCCGCGCCCCCCCCCCCTTACCCTCGGTTCACACGGTGAAGGGAGGCGCGGCTCGCCGAGGACCGGAATACCGCCCCCATCCCCCCTAAACACGCTTTGTACCCGCGACGCCGCCCTCGCACTCGCGCAACGTGACGCGCAGCCTCCCCCCCCTTCCCCTTTCCCCTTCAACACGTTTTGTACTCCTTCGCGCCGCCACTGCTGCCCTCGCGCAACGTGACGCGCACCCCCCCCCCCCTCTTTGTCTCTTCCGGGGTGGGTGGGGCGGTCGTCGACCTCCCCCTGCCGCCCAGCTGTCCTGCTCTGCGCCACCGCGTGCCACCCCTCCCGGTGTCCTGGATTGAGCAAGGGGTGCGGGTGACGCACGTTGCGCACAGAATTGCATCAGCAAACAAACCCGAATAAATACCGACGGCGGAAATGATCCGCGGCTCTTGCACCCACCCAAGAGAAGAGCCGTGCCGTGCCACCAAAGTAGGGCAAGCTGCCGG